CCCGCGATATCCTTCTCGGACGATAAGTAATCCCTTCTGTCAGCGCTGCATATTGATTTATTATTATTCAATAGCAGAAAAAAAATACTTCGACGCTATGCGAAAAGCTATGTATTTAGCGTGCTTCTCGCTCTCCGCGAAAGCTTTTAACTCGCTATCTTGGCGGACTAGTTATTCCTGCACGGAAGAGGATATTATTGATCCCGCGCAGCGGGAAAGATCCATTGTCATGTTGCCGGAGAAGTAAGACGCATCCAACGACGACGAACGCTTACCTGATTCGCTTTGTTGATCTGCTTCTTGAGCCCGGCGAACGCCATGGTGCTGTCGTGTCGTTGCCTCCCGGAGATCACGCGTAAATCGTCTCGAACTGTAACAGAACGGAAACGAGAACTGTCAGACGGGTTGCACGTGTGAAATCGACAAAAGAGAGAGAGAGAGAGAGAGACTCGTATGGAAAAATAGGAAAAAAAACGGAGATAGATAGATAGATAGACAGATAGATAGAGAGAGAGAAGGAGAACGTTGGAAAAATAGGACGAAAGTTTCGAATTTACGATCGCGACGGCTGCTGGCCGCTCGCCAAGGCGAACGGGACGATTTTGAATGTTATCGATCGACCGTATGTCGTGTGCGTTTTCCAGTGTCATGACTCGTCGCTGATGTAACTACCCGGTCGCCTCGCGTGCGGCTCGGCCGTGTACGTGTGCAGGTGCCGGGCGGAGGCGACGGCGATGACCATCGCGAGTGAGTGAGTGAGTGAGTCTCGCGCGATGATCTCACACGCGCAGTGAAGCCGTACGTCGCAACGTGCCGCCGACCCGACCTCTTAACAGGCTCTAATGAGAGTAAATAATGCGTGCTCTTATTAACGACGCACGGCACGCACCGATAGATCCGTCATGCGCGACTTCTAAACCGTGTTGAATTACAGAGAGGATAAAAAAAAAACATCATCAAATTTATGCGTACAAATCACAAAGCTGCAATCTTCTAACGAAGGCGAGCGATAATTGCACGTCGATAAATTTGTAATTTATTTAAATCTATCGATTGCAAGTCTCTCTCTCTCTCGTGGAATTTTTCTTTTATCATTCCGTAATCCAATCAATGAGCGTATATCTATGTTGGGAATCTTGTTAGAGCAAGTTAATGCAAGTACACTTATTAATGCAACTACGCGTATCGATTTCTCGCGAAGGCGGGCATGCAGAAATGCCCGCAATAAAAATAGAGGAAGTGTATGCATTCTAAAAATTTATGACTGATAAATCTATGGTACGATTTAACAATAGCGAGTTAGCAGCAGGCCGTCTTAATGAAGGCAATATTGCAATATTGCAATCAATAAATTCATATATGGACATGTCCACGGAGTACAATGCGGAAATTTTATTTGCAAAACCTAACGATGAATCTATTAGAGGAAATTTGCTTGATTAATGAGTAAGTGACATATTTCGCATTGATGGCTCTCTTGCGTGAATTCCGCACGAATCGAGATAGAAATGTAATATTGGTAATGAAGAAATTCGAGCAACGAAACATCTATAAATACATGACGGATTTTAATAAGAGCGCAAGTCGTACATCAATAAATTTCTCGCGCAACATCTTAAAGATTAAAAATATAACATAATAGAGGAATTCCAAATGCGATGTGTTTAAATGATATGTAAATCTGCAACAGTCAAACACAAATAACGGTTATATGTATCGCGAACGATCGACAAGTTCCCAACAACGATGATTCTTGAACGGCGTCTACAATGAGATTTAAAACTTATTTAAGAAAAAATGGATCAATCATAGTCAATTATCTCAGGTAAAAAGAATAATCGGTTGTGTTTCGGTCAACTTTCTTAAATCTTATAAGTATCATTGTAGACGACGCTTTACAAAGTCTGGATAAACTCTTGGAGTGTGAATTTTTAAGTTTAAGAAAGTACACGTATCGAGCACCGGAGAAGCTCTACAAAGCAGGCGCAAAGTCTATAATTGACCCGAGACGATTCCGGCGACCAAAGGTCGCCGGAACCTTACATGCGATTAATTAATCTCACGAAACTAGCCGAACTAGGCGAACTAAGCCGAAACTCTTTTTTCACATATACACACCACGCACTCGCAGGGATCACGAAAAATCATCGGCCGATAACGCTTTCTGAGTAATTCTTGTCAATCGTAGAATCGAGGTCGCTCCGTTGACGTGCCGGCGGCGAAATTCCCCGAAGTGAATAAATGCTCTATTAAAACGCCGCCGCGTCTACGGTGAACTTTCAGAATGGCACGCATTGACCGCGACATAACGTCGAAATCATCTTTCAGTAATGAGCGTATTGATAAACGCAATATTTTTATAAATAAATCTAGGAAGATTTTTTTTAAGTTAGTAATAATCGCGGTGGGGGGGAAGGGAGGGGGGTATTAAAGCCACGACGATTCGATTGTCCCGATTGGTCCCGAAACACCGAAAGAGATAGACCTACCCGAGATAGACCGGTGCGAAGGAGAACGAAATTCGGTAAGTGGGCGACTGGATGGGAAGATGGAGGCTTACTGACACAGTCCGACAACAACGGTTAACGTCCCGGCTTTCTAGCGACATAATAATTTGACCACCAGCATGCTGACTGTACCGTTAAGCGTCAAGCGCCGTATTTTCACTCTTAAATTAAATTCTTGCGTCTTATGCAGTAGAATTGTATGGCAAATAATAAATAAACGGACGGTAGTATATAGGAACACGTAATATTGAAAGAGTAGATGGCAGTGCGGTACTCCGAATAATGGCAAAATGTAAGGAGTCGTAAAAGATAACAGCAGAATAATCCTATTGGAATAATGAAATTCAAGTTAGAAACTTTATGTGAGGAGAAAAGCGTAAGTGATAAGATTAGATGAAAAGTTGCGGTGAAAACTTGCGGGGAGGCTATAAGATGTAGCCGATGATAGGTAAAAGTGTAACATGAGGAACTATAACGTAAGGTAACGCTGTGAACAGGTAACACGATATCGAAAAGGATAAGAGTACACTATATAGTGAGTAGCGCTGGATGGTAGCACGGACTATATAGAGAGCTATAACGTGGCTCTGCGATATAGGTAACTACAGTATAGTGTTACGTGAGGTAAAAATGAAATATAACCGAGGGACCGACCGATCACAGGTAGATGAAGACAGTCGCGTTAGCGGATGGCATAGACTGAGAATACAACCTGCTTCCCCCCTCCCCCATCCGGGCACAACGATCGCGATCTCTATGTCACTGAAGCTCGAATCGCTACACGCCAACGCGGCGGCCCTCGCGTCTCGTGCCATCCATAGTCCGCGAACGGGACGACACGTCGACGCTCCGGAAGACCCGTGTGCGTCACACTGCAAACGATACCGAATTGCGAGCGGCGACGATTCTCGCTCGCGCCGGGAGGAACGACCCGCCGGCGCGATAACGTTGCAAAAATACAACGCGAGTAACGGGTATTTGCAAATACAAACTGCAGCTATAGGCTACGCCGACAAGGACCTGGTCTCACCTCTCGGAGCGCTCGGCCCTCCGGCGCGAATCGGATGCACACCCCCAAATGCACGCCGACGTGAACGGCGAACGATGACGTTTGGGATCGCGTCGACGTCTTGAAAAAACCGGACGACGCGTGCGGATGCGTGCCTCTATACGTGCGTGAGGAACAGGAGGGATCCGCGTGGGCCCACGAGCACCGCGAGAGAGCACCCCACTGACTACTCTCGTATACGTGATCGGTCTCTCGCACACTGCGAAATCGCCTGCTAGGGGGTAGTTTTCTGCTGGCCGATCGATACACGGCCACGGCTCAGTTTCTCGCTCTCTCTCTCTCTCTCTCTCTCTCTCTCGCTCGCTCGCGCGTGCTCGCTCCCCTCTCCAAAGGTTCCCACCCCTTCCTCCCGCTGGTCCCTCCCTTCCCGTCTCACCCCCGCCTCGTTTCGATACCATTCCCTACCCTTTCTCTCACGATAGCCACCTCTTTCCCGTCAGGGACGGATTCAGGAGAGGAAACTGCAGCACGGAGGTTGAATTAATTTCTCGCGTATTTCTAAGACGTTCTCCCGAAGGCTCGAAGTATCATCTCGCAACGCGATAGATGAAATATCAAGAATCGCAATAATAATCATGACTAGCTTCTCCTCGGTCGGAGCATGTAATTCTTTTTACTACCACTTCAACTTCTCCTGTGGGTGTTTTCAAGATCCACCTCTGTTTGCCCTTTCCCTATCGTCCTCTCTCTCTCTCCTCCTTCCACGTGCGCCGCAACCCTCGACTTTATTCGCGCGCCTTTGCTCCCTTTTATGCTTATACCGGGTGTCTATAACGGCGAAGGCGATATATCGCTCACTTCTGAAATTCACTCGCGCGCGCGTACAATAGGGATGAATAGGGTGAACAATGTTTGTCATTTGCCCCAATAAGGATGAGACAACATAAATCTCCATTCTTATAAACAAAATTTAATTTGACACGATGAACGCCGCTGGGACATTAATAGAAGATCATGGACGTAAAAGAGTACAAGTAAGATTTTTGTAAATTATTTCGCACTGTATAAAATATGAGGGGAAGGGCAATGATATTTTTATTTTACGGCTATTATTAAACGGCTAGTGAATAAAAAACTTTTTCTTGTAATACATATTAGAAGAAAGTAGAGCAATGAATTTATGAATCGAGATCCATGAATGAAAGAAATTATGCATTATATTAAAAAAAAATTAAATACTTATATTAGTTCCTTAAAAATTGATGGATATATAATTTTTCTATTTAACTTTAAGCTAGAATGAATTATACTTAATTCTATCAATTGTATATAAAAATATCTTGATATGCAAAATTTTCTATTTGATTTGTGGAGAAAAATTCTATTTGCCGTTATATTCGTGTAAAGATGTAGAAATTATTTATTAAAAAATTTGCACTTAAAACATTTAAATTCTCGTCTAATCTACGTCATTCCGTTGATATCGTCTGAAATCTTTCATGAGACATCTGTTAGAATCATCTCCAGAAGATATTCTACGAATAGTATAATTTGCCTGATATTTCTCAAATATTCTTCCGGGTCGTTGACCGCCGCGTATACTGCCTTCTTTCTAAGAAGGAGAAGAGGTGTCTTTATCTTTCTGTGATCGAATAAAAATTACAAGAACAAATAAACCCCTCGAAGAAACGAGATTGATAATAAAAGAGAGCGAACGAGCGACATAAAGGTGAATCGATTTTACAATTCATTAATATCGTACTGTTTCAAGAGGACCTTTCTGCTTTCCTCTAGCGTGTCGTACTCTCAATAGCGTATCAATTATAAATATAATCAGCCTCTCTCGTAATCGTC